ACTTGCTCTGGCACTCAGTTTTTGAGAACGTTTTGCTCTATTCAGATTTACACATGTGCCACTTTCCTTCCATTTCTTAATGATGGATTTAACTGCACTGCAGAGAACATTCAGTGACTAGTTTTTATATAAACCCCATTCTTCTACCTCTGACAGAACTTCCATACCTGTCAGAGCGTCATAAATACAGCTCATAAAACCTGCAATTACTTTTCACTGTCACTTTTATGACTCATCAATTGTGCTTTTTTGCTTTTTGAAAAGTAATTCTTCATCTGTATGCATCAGGAATCTTAAAAATCACCCTCATGTCTTTAGAAATAAAGAGCGTAATTGTGCTTTAAATGGCATTCATTATGAAAGAATTTAAATCGCAGCTGCCGTATTAATAACGATTTGTCTGATCTATCAAGTAGAATTGTGAGCCTTTCACATGACTCACAGGGGGAGTTTGCATAAGAAGCGTTTTGGAGTTTTAAAACCTTTATCCTACAGACAAGAATAAAGTTCAGTGTGTAAAAACAGAATGTCTGTTAGTTTTTGGCATTGTCTGCACGACATTTTCACTGTCCTTACTGAGATATTTATTTCTGGGAGTTGATTGACACCCTGTTTTTAAAATAATTGCTATTATTTTGCCAAACCTTCTAAACTTGAAAAATTGACCTGTGCTTCTTATGTGAGCTTCTTTTTCCCCCCTCTGATTTCTTGAAGTAAGTGTATGCATGGGTCAACAAATAACGCTTGGTATCCTACTACGAATACGATTTAGTACTAATACTATTTTCTTTAAATTAATAAGAACCACACATGGAAGAATTCACATTTTTTTGTCCTTGATATTGAAAACGTGAGCATATATGTAAATGCCATTTAAAAATAGTCTTAAAATGCATTCATAGTATATTGTATTAGTCATTAACATAAGCAATCTGACATTTCAATTCGATATTTTTATTATTTAGCTGCTGTCTGTACCGTTGTAATCACCTCTGCCTGGGGTTTGTGTTGTTTCAGGGCGACGCAGGCCGAGTGAAGCTGACCTTGGTGCAGGACGCCCTGGCCCAGCTCATGAAGACCCAGTTCCCCCTGGAAGAGCTGCTGCGGAGCCCCTTACCTGAAGGCGTGGACCCCCAGCACCTGGAGGTCTACCTGTCCGACCAGGACTTCCAGGTAACCCGATGCAGCAGGCTGCAGTGACACCTCTCAACCAGTAGGCTGCAGCGTTCACCACAGTTTGACTTCTTGTGTTTCTCCTCCAACAACAAATCTGAGAGGAACTTTTGTCTTTAATATTTCTTCTATTTCTAAACTGATTTCTGCATTGTTTCCTCCATAAATAAATCACTGCAATTGTGTTTCAGACGATTATGGAAATGAAGAGAGATGAATATGCCTCCCTCCCGGGCTGGAAGCAAATTGATCTGAAGAAAAGCAAAGGGCTGTTTTGTTAGACATCGAGTCTGACTGATGCTCCGGCAGCGGGAGCTTCATCCTCCGCTGAGGTCACGTCAGCTGCTGCACAAAGAACTGCTCACAACGTCATAAAAAGAAGAAAAATCACTTTTATTTATGTCAGATTAGTGTGTGGACTTTTTATCGGACATGGATTTCTCTGTAGCTACCAGACGGTTCAGAGCAAAAAAACAAACAAACAAACAAAAAAAAAGACATTTTCCTATGAAACGTAATTGTGTCTGTACAAATCAGCGAAAGATAAAAAAAAATAATATATGTGGGAGTAAAGGAAGGATATCAGTAACAAACTGTGGGATAAGAATGAGGAAAAAGAGTGCTTACAAAAAAAGATCAATGCTAATAAACAATGTAAACAAACACAAAACAGAAGGCTAAACGTTCTCTGAATGTTTCCCGCTCGATCGGTATTTTTCCACCTGTGCAGAGTTGCAGTTTCACTTCGATTAATCAAACAAAACTGCTGCTCTTCTTCCTGTACTTGATGATTGTCACGGAAATGTCAGTGTGTTTGGCAGCATTATCCATACTGTGAGTTTTACAATCGTGTGTTCACTTGTGCTTGACGCCATGTGTGTTGCTGCAGCCGAGGTCGACGTGTTGATGCCTTATTAGGGCTCCTTGGGGATTCACTATTAGCTATGCATGAAGGACCTGGTAGACATGCTCCAATAACATCCCTCTGGCCCAGAACAACACGTTAATTCTGTTTCACCTCAATCAGCGCATGCTTCAGGTAATGCTCACGACACACAAAGACGTACTGTATCTCTGAATAAGAACGCTTCGACATCTCTGAACGGAAAACCCATCTGTGTAACACTTGTACCACTGAGCTCACGGTGACGTCTGTAAAATTCTTGGTCTGCTTTCATATTTGTGTATTTTCCTTTTTTTCTAGTTGCACGATGATAGAAACGGCAGCTACAGGTGAAGTTTTTTTCTTTGCAGTCATTGTTTCTTGCACTGACCATCACAGTACAGCTGATGTGTCATTAGTTTGGCAGGAATTTAGTCATAAACCAAAGTTTTGGACAAATTAAAGACCCTCTCCAGTGAAATTTACCTGGTTAACATGTACATATGGTGTTATTTTTTCTTTCTTACAGGCTGTTTCGCTCTGACATCAGCAATGATAACGTCATGAGATCGATGCCACTGCAGCTTTTTATAGCCGTAGTTGTGCTGCAGTGATTGGAAGGCCTGCAAAGCAAATGTCCTCCCAGTTTCTGCTCAGACATCTCTGACTTGTCTGAACATAAAACAGCGTTTATAAAGATGGTTGGTACATTTTTGATTGATTTATCAAATAGTTTGTCAGAATTTTTTTCAAAAAGTTGCCTGACGACCCGATTCAGCACATTTTTTTTTTTTGCACATTGAAATTTGAGGCTGTTTGATGATAATATCTCAAGAACTACTGAAGATTTTATTACTGTGACATGCAACTACATATGTTCAGAAAATATCCCTAGATCACTTCTGCATTATCAGCATATTTGTTAATAGGAGCTCAAAGATGAGACTTTTCATGACAACTTGAGCGAAAAACGTGCTGAAAGTGGGTTGATGGGCATTTTTAAAATTCTTTTTAGTTATTTTGGAAAGTACTTGACATAATCTAACATTTCACAGTTACCACTTTAAATATTTTTAGTTCATGATTAAAAAGAAGTTCCAAGAAATCCGAGACGGTGGAGCAGAAGGCTCCTAATGATTTGACATGAAACTACCCTTTTGAAAGATTTAGATTTTATGATTCTGATTTTCATTTGGTAAACGTGATGGTTTAATTTGGTTTTGGTAACAGAAAACGTGTTGTGTGGTTGATGTGACGTTTATCAGTCAGATTACACATCTTAAAGTGCATACAGTATATCACAGCTCCAGTCTATTGTATGTTAACACTGCACTGATTTAACGCTTGAAGCAACTCCAAACCTCGTAGAAATGTTTCAACCTCGACAGACTGATGGTGAAAACTGTTATCTTGTATGACTTTCATCTGTATTTGATTAGTCATTAGTGTTTTCAGATTGTTTATGTAGTTTGGGAGGGAATAGGATGCTGATTTCCATTAGAGCTGATGCAAAACAGAGGTAGAACCGTGACTATCGATCACAGAATACAGCATTTTAACGGTGCTGCGTCAGAGACTGCGTATAAACTGATTTTTGTGTGATGACGTTTTTTAAAAAAAATCTGTGTGTTTCTGTAACTTTCTGTACTGACCAGAGGCTGGTGGAAACCTGCCGCTGTCCAATTTTCCGGCACAGTTGATCTCAAACAAACTCGCTTTTCTCCTTCAGAAGAATGTGGAGTTGAGTTCTTGGGGCTTAAATCACAGAGCGGAGAGGGACTTTAATTTATCTGATACTGTAAATCATCCTGTACCAGATTTTTACGGCAATCCGAGTTGTTGAGACACATGCGAACCTCAGAATGTCTCGTGAATGTCTATGCGTGATTTTGTGCTAATCCATCGACTACATGAGGTGTTGAGATATTTTGATCTGTAAACTCTAAAATCACATTCTTCAAATGATGCTGCTGCTGCTGGGGAGAAACCAGAGAGCAGAAGTGCTTCACCTAACTGGAAAATCCTTTTACTCTGATGCTGATGTGGCTAAAACTACCTCTGCTGGTCTATAAAATCTCACAGACCAGCGATTTCTAACGGCGTAAGAGCATCTGAGGGAGGTTTTTTTTCTACCGTCCACGAGTCACGCTGGTCCCACAAATTGTGAATAAGTCAGGTTAGTCTTCCACTGGTCCACTGAGCTGGAGCCCCTTTGGGTTCACTGACTAATGGGTGTTATTTTCCTCAGAATGGATTAGCTGACTAAGCCTCCATGTGACTGCGCGGTGCTGGTTAGACTGGATTTAGGCCCACTGCTGGGTGATGGCACACTGGAGAAGAAATTTCCAAAAAGATCTGCTTTCAGGCTGCAGGGGGAAAAAAACCCAAACACCTATATGTGAACGTGAGGCTGCAGTGAAAGTAAAACTATCTCCAGCATTTCTGGGTGGAAATATGATTTTAAAAAAGGACTTTTGTTTTGTTTTTAATGTGAGATCAGTGATGCCAGTTTACTGCTCACGAGTGTCCGTGTTAATTTGGCTCTGGTGATGGAAAATGTGCCCGTTTGAAAAGAGGCAGCTTGAGGATAAAACCGGCACACTTTCCCGTCCCGCTGCTGCTGTTTGTTTCTCTGTGTCTGCTTTAGATGGCTTGTTCTCGCTGAGCGTCCAGCCCGGGCATGCTTCGATCCGGTTCGGAGGCCAGCGCCGCCTCGCGTAAAACCACCATGTGATCCTCTGCTGCGTGGAGCGACTGGTCGATCCAGTCCAGGCTGCCCGACATGTGACAGGCGTTGCGGGTGACCAGCACCAGGTGGCTGACTGAGAGCAGCAGAGCAGTGGCCCTGAGGGCGGAAAAGACAAATAGGTTCAAGTTTACCAGCTTTCTTTTAGGTGCTGCTGCATGAAAAGCACACATTTACAAAAAAAAGACAGCTTTTTAACAATCTGAACCCTGAGTATTTTCACCTCCTGTCACATTTTTCCTGACTGTTTGTAATTTTTCACTGCATTACAAAGTCCTGCACCTCTAATGGAAACCACGAAGAGAACTCGTTTGTGCTGTATGACACAGTTAGAATGTCATAAATAACAGAAGAAAACATGGAAGCTGAACTTCTTTGATTATTGATGTTGCAAAAATTGAAAACTCCGAGAAACAACTTGTATAATATTTTATTTAGTGACTACAGATGTTACCAATACTGGAAAATAACTACAGATAATTTACTACTTACAGTTTAACTTTGTTTTCATACTTTACTGTGTACACAGCCTGCAGTTCAGCTGAAAAATCCCTAAATAGTTTTTTAGGTGAGTGTTGGTTTTAAGCTTAGCCACTCAGTGCTTGTTTTTTGCAGCAAGAATCTGGCTAGTGCAAATTACTTATTTTTGGAAGTTTTTAAATGAAACGTAGAATGAAGTTGAGTTTTCAGATGGAACTGGAAGTCACACTTGATCAGCTTACAATCTGAATTTGAATGATCTGATTCTTCTTCTTCTTTTTTCTTTTTTATAATTTCTGAGTCTGAAAAAATCCCACAGATGTTGCCAGTACTGGACAAAATGGCGGCTCTTTTCTATTACCAGCACTGTAGTCATTTTACTAATTATTTTTTGTTGTAAGTTTCCATATTTGTCTGTGTTTTGTGTAAACACATCCTGCAGTCCCTGGATTTTTGTCCCATGACTGTTGGTCACAGCTGAGTCACTAATAGCTCCACGTTTGCACAAAAGAGGACATAATTGTTTTATCCAGTTGGTTAATTATAACTGTTCATTTTGGGCATTTTTTCTTGAAATGAGACGTAAAGTGATTTTGATGAAATAGCCTGATTTCAAGCTTAGATTTGGTTACATAAAAGTTTGAAAGTTGAACAATTCTTTTCTTCTTTTTACAGTTTCTGGTTCTGACAAATGGGGTAATTTTGGTGTTTTTTAAAAGATAAAATGCTTTTAAACCTGGATTTTGGGGTTTAGAGTGCTAAAATCAAAAGCAAACTGACTCCAAATGGGTATTTGAGTCTGAGCACATGAAAGATTGCATTAAATTTCAGCTCAATTTGCATTAATGATGAAAAACACCCATTTTGACTTATGATGCTTTCCTGGTAGCATAAATTTTCTGTGACACTCGATCATTTGTCTTCTCGTCTGCATGCTTTCTCTGTTTTTCTGCAACATTATTAGATTGTGGATAAATCCAGCTGTGTGTCCGCTCCTCTCCAGCTTCTCCAGACATCTAATCGATCAATGGAGATAAGAGTCTTCCCATTACCTGGCGTCCAGGAGGATGGGATCCAGAGGAGGGTACATGGAGCGGACGACGTCGTCCACCCTGCGAGACGAGCAGCGAGGAAGAAGCCGGTCAGTCCGTGTTGGTTATATGAAGACAGAAAGCTGCGATGCGTTGCGTGTATGTTGCGTTACCTCGGGCTGATGCGTTTGGCCACGGTGATGATGTCACTCAGACTGGCCGGCGCTTTGACTTTTGCCCCCGAGCCCATCGTCATGGCAACCAGCTTTTCGGTCAAAGTGTGGCAGATCTGAATGTGGGAGCAGCAGCAGCAGTCCATATTACAAACTACATTATGAATTAAAACAAAGACTAAATGCCATGTAAACCGCTTTGTTATTACTGTTGTTATGGATGCCTGATGCTTTACGGTCGGAAAAAGTTGCTGATTAAGCTCTTTGTTGTGAACTCAAGGTAACAACTGGAGGCAACTCAGAGGAGTGTGTCATCTTTATCGACTCACATCTTCTGTTTTGAAAAAAAATCACATAAACTTTGAAAAAAACAAACAACTTGAAACAATAAAAGTCTCCCTCATCTGCAGTTTAAATTACATCCCTGCAGTTAATTACTGAAAAGTACATTTAAACTCAACTAAAGCAGGAATTAAACACTTGTGTTACCTTCAGGATGGAGATGCAGTGAGAGACCAAACCACTGTTGGAGAAAAACACGAAAGATATCATTAATGACTGCAGAAGGAGCAGCAACATGTAAAATTCATTCCCCAACACGGCTGCAACTTCTAATTCTCCATTAACCAATTAGTTGTTTGCTCTGTAAAATGCCCGAAAATGGTGACAAATGTCAGTGTCTCCCAAAACCCGTGATGACAAATGTGTCAGTTTGTCTACAACCCACAGATATTCACTTTTCTCCCACAAGAGGAGCAGCAAAACCCAGAAAATATTCACATTTAAGAAGCTAGAATCACAGTATTTCAACTTTTATTCTTGCAAAATGACTCTTGATTATCGAAATAGCAGCCGATTAATTAAAATCTGACAGCTAATCGATTAATCCTCGCAGCTCTGTTCCTCAGTGCCACCAGTGAGACGTACGAGGCGTCCTCGATCCAGTCCTCGTTCTCCAGGATGGCTTCGATGTGAGGGTTAGTGATGACAACGTCGTCCAGCTCCAGCTCCGACGGCTCGCTCTGGGTCTCCATGGCTCCGATCAGATCCACTGTGGGTCTGTCAAACAACAGAGGAGAGACAGCCGAGTGAAGTGGATATCTGAAAACAAGTTAGAAACCATGTCACAGTTGTCAGTGAACATGTGTGGCATTACACCCCAAAAAAAACAAAACTGCATTGATCTCCAGTGGTTCTAAAAACCCTCCTTTAGTCCTGCTGGTGTTTTTGTGCTGAACCATTCTGAGTTAAAACACGATGTCACCACCGTTGTAATCATATTTAATTTAATGAACATTTGAAAGTTTAATAGTTTTTCAAAATTATATTATTCAGGCCCAAGGATACACCTCAAGGCAAAGACTAATTAGCGCATAATATGCAGGATAGGATCTGACTAAGAACTGGAAATATCATAGCAACTGGTCAAGAACCTTCCCTTTCGCATGTGTTTTCTTCTAAACTGGACCATGATTTAGAAAATAAACATCAAACTGTATTAAAAAATACTTGATACTAGCGACTGAGACGATAAACTCATTCGGAAAAATGTTTACTGAGGTAACAAATCAAATGGAAAAGGCATCTTTCTCATAGTTGTCTATAAAATCAGACAACCGGAGGAGTCTCCCCCTGCTGGCTGTTAGCAAAATGATTTAAGTCACTTCAGCACTGATTTTACTTTTTAGACAAGAGGCTACGTCCAGCATTTATATACAGAATATGGGTTAAGGTATAAAATCTGAATCAGATGGTTTATCTTCTTGAGAATTTTCACATTAAACATATGAAATAAGGTAATTTTGATGAAATATCAGGATTTATATTTTAGATTTTACCACTGGAAATACACACTGCACATGTTTCATTAACGGACAATCGGAAATGTGAAAATCTCATATTTTTTAATCTTTCTAAAAGAAAACATGTCTTTTAAACCTGTTGGCAAGCTTTGGGCTTTAGATGGTTAAAAATATAAGGGAGAATAATGTCCTGATTTGTTATATGAACTAACTTCTTCAGTCACTTCTTGTTTTTTTTTTTTGCAATATTTACTCGCCATATATAGAAAACAACATCCATCTATGTGGTAGTCAGTCAGGGTTGATTGCACTGTGGATGGATGTTTTTAACACCATCAGTGTAGCTTTAAATGGCAAAAATCAAAGTCTGTAATATGAAAAGGCAGTGAAAACTAAGAGGTGGAGGTTGATGAAGTCTAGTGACAAAGACCCTAAATAAATACATCCTCTGTTTATAATCTACTCAGTTACAACAAAAATGATCTTAAAAGTAAGAATTTTTGCAAAACTGTTTCATGTGTTAGACGTGCACTTGAGTGTACCTAAAATTTGAATTGAGGGTACACAGTTCAGTGCAAATAATCCTTCAGATACTTCAGTAACTTTTAGCTTTTAGCAGAAATTGCAGGACTCTGAACTGAACTTCCCACAGAAATGGAAAGTGTTGGCAGACATATTTCAAGGCTTTGCGCTGATTCACTGACTTGGAGTCGAAGTGGTGCAGCAGGTCGTGGGGGTGGCAGTATCGGTGTCTGCACACCATCACCAGGGCAATGAAGGAGGCCAGGAAGATGGTGGCCAGCACCCCGATGGCCACGATCACCACCGTCTCCATGGCGACTCCGGCTGCCTCAGCGGCTGCAGGCAGCGACTCGACGAGAGGCGAAGAGTCCAATCAGGGTCGGATGATTGTCCGAGCTCGGTTACAAACAGCCGCTCATCTGCTGAGGAGGAGATTAAAACAGCAGTTTCAGTCTGAAGGGCCACATTATCGCCACGCTTGAGGATTTTTATGCGGGAATTTTCATTTTAGCTGAAGTACAATGCACTTTGAACCCTCGGAGAGGTTTCTAAATATGGCACTCCTACAGTGCACACATGAAACTGATCTTTATCTGAGTGCAGGAGCTGAACTTGTGTTTCGTTTTGCACCTATTTAGCATTATCAGGACTCATTGGCACATTAATACAACAAAACAGCAAATATACTTCATTCACCTTTAATAATTAGCCACAGAGTCGACAGCTTAAGTTATTGTGTGGATAAATGCTTTTAAGACTCATTTTGATTTACAGCTTCAACAGTTCAAACAGTCTGAACCTCAAACAACAAATCCCACAAATTCTGACCTCTCCTTCAACTCCCCACTGACGTACTGTTGGTTTATCTACGGTAGGATTTAGGTCACATTTATCTTCTGTCTCAGGGTGTAAAGCGTAGCTGCCCTCTGACCGGTCCAGTTACTCATTAACCGTCCTGACACACCTTGTCGCTGTGTTTGTTTGTGTGCAAACTCTCTGCAGAGAAGCTGTCGGCTCTCTGCACTGCTAAAAATATTTTATACAGACATTCACTGTAAAAAAAACAAAAAAAAACTTTTCTTTTCAACCTATTTCATATCAAGAGAGTATATCTGTAAAATATATTTTAAAAATATCTGATTTTTAACAAAGTTGCTGCAAAAGTACAGTCAAACTATGAGATTTTATATGACAAGAATCACTCATTTTGGAATTTGACATTTTTTAAAAACACTTTAGAGTTTTAATTAACAGACCAATCAAACAATAAAACACATTAATTCAAGTCTAACATCATCTGTTACTCTGTTGTATTTTTATTCCTCTAATTATTTGATTGATTCATCTTTTTAACTGTACAGCATTTAAGTTGAACTCCTTTTGCTTTTTAATGCACTTTATGGATAAATTTGACTTAAAATACGATAAAAGACTAACATTAAACAAATACAGCATGTAGCTGGTAAAGCAGGTGGGAGGAATGCAAACAAAACAATAAAAATATCATCAAAATATCACATACAGGAGATTTAAATGACAGTAAACTAAATGTTAATCTCTTGTTCTTGTAGAAATCTGCACATTCACAGGCAAATATTGTACACTGATTACATAATACAATTAAGTAACATAATTTTTCTTTTTTTTTTTTTTTAAAGATAGCAGCTTTCAAATTGGATCATTTAAATGTAAGTATGTTGTATTTCATTGATTTTTTATTATATTGAGGAGAAAAAGTGTCATTCTATTTAAATTAGTAAAATTACAGAGAAAATGTACATTAAAAAATTTTATTTCACATTTTTGAATTATGTACGGTAAATTTATAGGGGCAGATATTCTACTGCTTTTTTTTTACTTCTTCTTTACAGTGCACATAAACATAATATATTTTTAATTCAGCCTGACACTCACAAAGCAGCGCTACAGTTTTCTCAGCACGTATTTTACCACCGAGCGGCTGAACTTTCAACATTACAACATTGTAAAGCTGCATTTTTTCCTGGATGATTATGTGAGATTGTGCCATGGAATGCTGTAATTCTTTAATCTGATTAATTGGCGTTACACTGGCCGTATCATACAGGGCTTTCTCCTGCCTCACAGCTTTTCTGACTCTTGTTTCTTTCTCACAGGACGCTGCTTTCAGAGAATCAGTGCTACAAGGAAACTGGTCTGGAGGTTTTAGGGTGCAGAGCAGAGTCGCTCCCACATTCCTCAGTCCCATCTGTGAGAACTCAGAGCAGCACCACAGCTTTTTACTGCTTTTTAAAGGCAAATGTTGTACTTTTAGTGCCACTTTTTTTTTTTTTTTTTTACTTACTTCAGCAACAAAAGCAGCTTAAGTTACATTTCAGATTCAGGCGTTACATAAAAAACACAACATGCTTCCAAAACAGGGAACAAAAAACAGAATGTGAAGACGTGAAAAAGGCCTAAAACATTAAAATAAATAACATTTATTGCATTAAATCTTTCCTATGCTTTTCCTTCAAATGTTCAGTTGTGAGTGCAGCACTTGGACCACTATTTCTACACCAAATCACTACAACGTTTACTGAAAAATCAACTCTTCAAATACCAGATAGCTGAAAAAAAAATGAACCAGAATAAATCAGTTGTTGAAAAACAACAAAAAAGTGATGCTAAACGAATTCATTTTGTTTGTATATTAAAGTTTTCTTGGAATTTACAAACTATTAAGCAGTATTCCAGAACTTATTTATTCATTTTTGTGCATTTCTCTCCAGACACAGAACAAAAGAAGACAGAAAAACATTGTTAACCCCAAAACCTTAGTAGCTACGATACCATAAACTAAGAAACTTGTTTCAAAAAAGTTATATATAGCATATCTAAACATAAATCTAAAAAGCTTGACAAGATAATTGAGAATCACTTCATTAGAGGGATCAAAAACAACACAATATGGATTTAACACCAGCTCATGAGAAGCGCCTGTTCTGCCTGAATAATTCTGACTAAATGTACATTTCCCAACATAATATTTGTTCCTAAAAGCCAGATCAGTGAAAACTCAGTCACACTCTCACTTGCTCACAGTTAACAAACACACAACAGCGAAGTTGCACAACTTTAGTGGATTTCCTCTTCTACTCAAACATCTGAAAGTTGCAGATTGTCTATAAATTCTGTTAAACTCCTCTAAAGTTAAACCAAAACCACTTTTTTACTCGAAAGAAGCTCGTTTTTTTCAGTCACTTACCTCCACATTTTGTTCTTTTTAGTCGATTCCTGGAAGGAGACGGTTCAGCTTTTCGCTACTCCAGCGGGAGCGCGGAGACGGCACCGACATCTCCAGACGCGGCTCATGAACGCGCAGCAGCAGCAGCCCGGTAAAGCTGCCGGTGGAGGCCGAGCTGCAGATGTCGGTGATGACGGATCACCGGACTTTGCTTTCTTACCTCCCAGTGCGCGACCTTCCGCAGCTTCGTGTGCGGTCACGGAAAGGCAGCTGCGTGTGCGTAAAGCGCGCTCCCGCTGCATGGTTTCCAAAGCTGCTGCGAAACAAACATGAGTTTATCTCCCACCAGGTGGCGTCCTGGAGCTGTTGTAGCTGAGTTCTCATCACATCTGGTGAAGGTAGGTCAGAGGTGCGCTTCTTTACACAAGAATACTCGAGTAAATGTTCGTAGTTACTTTCCCACTTTAGTACACAAAAAATACTTCATAAGTAACGTCACGTTTTCTGAGAAACACGTAGAATGAGCAGCTTTACATAATTTATATTACTGCTAATTATTTGTGCATTAATGTGCAGGAGATAGTTAATTATAGATATTCATAATTATAATTATGAGTTGTAATTATTTATGTAATTATGCATCACTGTAAAGTTGCAGCTGCTCAAGGTTTGGGCAAGTTTTATGTCAGTAATGTTTAAAAATAAAACATGTACAAATACTTCAAGATATGGGACATCCCTGGTGATAGCTGGTTTGGATCTAAAATTTACTGTTTTGAAAATATGGCTTTCCAAAAAAAAAAGTGTTATCTGGGCGCAACTTAGCCCGGCAAGGGGTGAACTGAGCCTTTGAAGAAAACATGTTAAGGGTAAATTGTGCCAATTGTGTTGAAGTGAAATTGAAAAATCACCTTATATAATGCTATATCAAAAGGAAGACAAATTCAACATGAAATGACCTCTCAAAAGTTGGATTTAAAGATAAAATGTACAACTTTCAAGACCATTTTCCTTCAATAAGGCCCACAGATGACACATTTTGGAACAAAACCCCTACAACTATTCAACCTCTATAAAGGTTACAACTTTAAAGGCCGCTTGTCTTCAGTAAGGCCAAAGGATTTCATGTTTTTAGAACAAAACCTTGTTCAGCATCAATAAAGCTTACAACTCCAAAGACCTATTTTCTTCAACAAGACCTCTGTACTTCACATTTTCATAACCAAATCAAGTTAGAAAAGAATAAAATTGACTGCAATTCTCACAGAACTGGGTCCAGTACAGAACATCCCATTTGTCAGACATATTTGAAAGATTAAAATTTAGTCCAAATCTCCTGCAACTACCCCACAAACTATTCTACATGTCACCAATCCACACTGCAGGGGAGTATAAACTTCTGCTCCCGTCTGTCGCTTCCTCCGGGTTTTTGAGGTGTTGGTAGTTTCTTGATCTCCTTCTTTCTATGGATGATTCCCTTATTCTTCTCCTTGAAGGTAAAAAATTGCTCTTCCATCCAGATGGAGCCAGGGGCTTAACTTAACCCCGGCCTTTTGGTTCAACTAACCCACTGCCACCATTTTAACAAAAGTGCATCATCCAGGCAGTTCAGAGCTAACGTCATACTAACAGTTTAACCTCAGACTGTAGCTTACTAATGCACCAACACATTTGATAAAGTGTTTTAGATGTCTCAATAATTGTTCAGACACAACACTCATAAAACCATAAACATGGAAAATGTACTTTGAACAGCAAGAAACTGTTTTGTTTACTAAAATGTGCTTACCTGTTACTCCATGTGCTCTTTCTCTTCCCTGGGAGAGTATAATAGATATCTCTGCAAACATGTTTGGTCACATGGCTGGTTTCTTCTCTGGTTCTTTTTTTTAAACAAGAGGTGGCTCAACTACCCCACAGGCTCATCTTACCCCACTCTCCCCTATTATAATAAGTCATCCATTAAAAAAAAAAAAAAAAAAAGTATTTCTGTAAAAAAAATTTCTTTCGTCAGAATCGGACAGCCTCTATTGTCATGGTATGCCAAAACACAACGAAATGAGCAATGTGAGATGTATATTTTGCATTGAAACCTGAATCTGAGCAGCCACTGACTAAAGATATTCATTAGATTTAGCTGAACATAAAGTGTTGTTTGTATTTTAGTATAAAGTTGCAGAAAATGGTCAAAAAATTCTGCACAAGTACCTCAAAAGTAAAGTTTTATACTGAGCAGTACATAAGTAAATACTTTGAACCACACACTTAGGTACAAACTCGAGTAAATGTTCTTCATGAGTAGTTTCACAGCAGCTTCTCTCACTTTACACCAAAAGTCAAACATTGTACTTTATACTTTACATTAACTGAATATCTCCAGTTACTCTGCAGATTGTGCTCATTAAAATATAAGTTTTATAAGGCTCTATGTTCTCCTCACCAAAAAGGGGGTAATAAAGTGTGATGTGTTTTATGGGAGAGCTGGATGTTAAGCTGCACTCATGAGACATGCTGTCACTGGGACGGTGAAAGAGCGTTACTGGATTCAACACGAGGGCATTGCCTTGTTGCCCTGTCACTAGAATTTTCTCTTTTCTGATTTGTGTAATCAAAGAGAAGAATGTTTATAAATCATGCGAGCATGTGATAAATCACAGTGTTTTTTTTTTACTGCTTTTTCTCTTTTCTATGTGCACTGTAAAAATAAAAATAGAATATCTGTGAAAAAAACTGTGGAAATATGGCAGCTATGGTTCCAAAAATGATAGAATACTTGAACGTTCAAAAACTAGAAAAATGTTAT